CAGTGCTGCCAGATCACTCGGTACGTTGGCTAGCAGTTTCTGTAAATCCCCTCCTTTGTCTGCTGCCTCGGCTTCCCGAATGTCGACCGCGTACACGTCAGCTCCTGCCGCTACGGCGCGTTTCATCGTGATCGCGTTGACACGTACCGACGAAGACTCAGGCGAGCCCCAGCGAGGTAAGGCGATGTTGTTACCGTTCACTCGCACAGTGCAGTCACCCGTCGTCCAGTCGATTCGCGGATTGTGTCGTCGCAGCCAATCACGCTCGAGTAAAATATCGGTTCCGTCGAGGGTCGTTGCGAGCATTTCCTGGCTAAACGTGAAGTTATCCCCACATCAAATCCGAACTCGGTCCACGCGTTCCCGTATCGCCAGTGGCGTACCGTCGACCAGTCTTGCGTCGATCTCAGGTAAACATCTGTCCAGTGGCAATCGCATTTTTCGTGCTGTGGCAGTGTTGATAAGGCTGTGGCTGGCCCCTCCGTCTACGAATATTTTAACTAAGTCAGTTCCAATTTTCCCACTAAGCAGTATAGGGCTGTCTACCGTAGTACCCTCCTTATTCGGCCGGGTGTGGTCGATTGCGTGAACCGGCACAATCACTCGGTGAGGGTCGGTTGGGTCGGGCGAGCGGCGTGACCTGTCAGTAGAGGGCCCGTCTGCTACTGACTCCCAGCGTTTCCCTGCTGCTTAGTCTGTTTCTGCTGCTCAGCTTCCCCCTTTCCCTTAGCGTTTTCCGGGCATTTGCTCTTGCGGTGTCCCGGCCGATTGCACGCAAAGCAGCGCCCTTTGAACGGTGCGGCAGCGGCATTTGCGGCGACAGCACGTATCGTGGCGCCCTCGTTCGTCCCACGAGGCCGATGTCCCCAATTCCTGCTTCCGTAGGACCCCGGTCTCGGTCGGCGGAAGAAATCGAGTTTCTCTGCCATGGCGAGAATCTCCTGAAAATCGGTGACGCCGCGAAGCTGGATTTCCTGAGCGATGTCCTGCTTCAGGCCACCGATGTAGCGGTCGATGCGCTCGCTCTCATGCATGTATCCCACCTGCTCGCATAGCGCCAGAAACCCGCTCGTGTAATCTTGGACAGAACCGAGTTGGCGCCAAGTGCGGAGCCTCTGTCGCGCCGCGATCGAAGCCGCAATTGGCTCAAAACGAGTGCGCAGACCTGCGCACCACGCGTCCCACGTGCGATACTGGGGCACCTCCACGAAATACGACAGCACCCAGGGTCCGGTTTGTCCTTTCCGTGTCGGTAGAGTCGCGTAGTCCACTGGCTTCGTGACGATGACACGCCACCAGTCCATGGCGGGTCCTCGCAGCAACGACACGGTGTAGCGAATCTTCGCCGTATCCTCCGAGACGTAGTTCGCGTCGAAGAAAACGTTCAACGTGAAAAGCCACGCCTGAACGGTAGGACCACCCCGCTGACTTGGATCGAAACATGGCGGGCGCTGCGGCTTCAGCGGCATCGGCAAAGGTAGAGTTGATTCGCCGGCCGGCACCGAAATAGTGACTCGAGGCTGATTCCTGGCCGCATTTGTCGCGTCGGGGTGTGTCGTGCCGTGGTCATCGTCTCCGTCATGGCGGATGACGCCATCACTTGCGGCGCTCGCAGGTTGCCCCACACTTCCGTGTTGTGATGTCTGTGGTGCGGGCTGAATCGGAGTGCCAGATGCTTGAGATTGTGTTCGTGCGAGGTCGTTTTGCAGGGACGTGCGTTCTGCCGTCAGCGCCGCGATTTCTTCAGAGCTTTCGCGGATTTGCCACAGCAGTTCGTTCAAATGCTCCTGCGTGAGAGTCGTGACATCGATATGCTCGGCCATTTCGAGGGACGTCGGCTCGGCTTAGTCTAGGCGCAGTCGTGGCTGCACGCGTTTACGAGAGAACGCGAGGACAGCGGCTCCTAGGTGCTAAGGTGCGTGAGTCCCTTCGAGTGAAAAATCAAAAGTTGATTTCCTGGGGTGCGGAGATGCGCGGTCTGAAAGGAAAGAGGCTCTGAATACCAAGTGTTACGGGTGCAATGAATCAAAGTAGCGAGAATTGCACTAAGGTGTCAAACGAGTACAAAATTTGTACGCGAAGGCATGAGCGAACATTTATACGCGAAACATGCAAACCGTAACGCGGTGTGTGCGAGCTAGCTAGTGCTATGCTGGAAGCGAGGCTCGGGCTAGTCCCGAAGCGTAGGCCGACACGGCCAGGCGAGCAGTGCGAGGTTTGGTGAAACAGTGCGCGCGAAGTCGGCGAAGCCCCGTTAGCAGTAACGGGCGAATAACGGCTGCTGCTGTACGCTATGTTGCAGGGCGCGCTAAGGAATGTCGAGAAAATTCCTTACAATTTCTAAGCGTTTATCGCTTTCAAATTTGCGTATTGTGAAAGCGAAGCTGACTGTAACGCAATTTCGTGCATCGTCGAAGCGCGGTATTCGCCTTCTCCGAATATATAATGTGGGCTGGGGTCATTCTTCCCCCACCCACGTCTCTCATTTTTACAACGCTCAAGTTCAATTCCCGGCTCCGAGACCTATCCCGATTTTTTCGGAGGTTCCAGTCCACCCCCCGATTTTTTCGGACTTCAACCTGGCGAGGGTGAAAACCCTTCCTCGCTTTCAATCTCCTTCTACGCTGCTGTCGGACATTCTTAACCACAACCAGGCTTCAATGGCGCCCAACACTCCGCTTAATCGTGGCGATTCTTCTCACGGCAACGCCCCGAACCGTTCGGACAACGAGAAGAACGCCCGTGAAATTTCGGGCGATCGCCGCAACAAGCGACGGGCTGAAGACGAAGATGTCGCGCCCACTGGCGTCGATTTGTTGCTGCGTAGTGGCGAAGTCAACAAAAACGCCAACCAGCAGCACCCCTCGACACCTGTGGCGCCAGTGGCTCCAATGGCGCCTGTGGCGCAAGTGACGACGGAGGCACATGCAGCACTTGTGGCGCCACACGCGCCTGACGCTGTGCACGCGCCAACACCTGTGGCTGGACCGTCGCGTCAGCGCCAGAGGCGCCGACTTGGGTCTTCGTCTGACGCGACGATTGACCCTGCATTGACTCCGACATTGAACAACGACCAGGTCCAAGCGCTTTTGGCGCTGTTACAGCAGCAGTCGCCGGCGGTTAGGGCTACAGCGACAACAATCTCTGCATCTGCTAAAAACGCAAATGCAATAAATGATTTGGCGCGTCACGCTCGCGCACCCGAAGTCCCTCGCGCCGAAAGGGAAAATGCTGCTGCTGTGGTGCCCAACAACAACAACGACGGCATCGACTCAGAAGACGAAGCGGGTGAGGCTCATGCACACAACAACTTTCTTGCACCCGTTGAGCACCTTCCTCCACTCCCCTCCACCAATCCCACCATTCCCGCCTCCTCATTTCACCACGCCGGAGTACGCGAGCAAGCGGAATTTCTGGAGGACCTGCGCGCGTACCTGAAGCACTCGGAGCACAAGATATGCCACGGCGACACCACTGGCGCTCTCGAGCACTTCGAAGAGGCGTACGCGCTCATCGCCGATCGCTTCCAACTCCTTCAAGTCGCCGACGCCTCCGACTTCAAGACGGCGCACCGCTTCAAGCTGTACCAGCAGAAAAGTGTGCTGACTTCGCGCCCCTTCAAGCAGGCGCTCGCGGATGTGGCAGCGATGAACCGCGCCCAAGGCTCCTATGGTCGCGGTTCTTCCCTTGGAGGCCGAGGCCCCACGGGGTTTGGTGGCAAATTCGGCACGGCCCCTGGCTGCAATGCAAGGGGCTTCCGCGGCACCTGTTTCTGCTGTGGCCAGTCAGGCCACACTGCCAACGCATGCCCTGCTGGTGGGCACGGTCCTCACGGACCTGCGCCGGTGGTTTAAACACGACGGGGCGCATAACCGCACGAAGGCTATTTGGCCGTGCCCTTGGGCTGTTTTTTATTGCCGGTTGGCTAGCCCTTAGGGGAAAGACCATTTGGGGTCTAAGGCGTTTGCCTAGAAGCTCTCTAGAGCATTATGAAGATCTTTTCCCATTTAGTTTTGCTGTGAAAAGGTTTTTAAGGGGAATAGACCATTGAGGGTCTAAGGGCGCTTGCTTAGAAGTTCTTGATAAGCTCTATGGTGTTGCTCTTTCTAATTATAAATTCTTGTTGTTCATTTTTTTGTGAGAGTGAAGAGAAGCATTACTCAAGGATCTCCTGGTTGCTCTTCAGTTTTCTCACCCCACGCCTCAAGGAGGCTTTTTGAGGGAGGCAATGGAAGCTTCGAGAAACTTGATATCCTAACATTAATATGAAGAACCAAAGGGCAAACAACCTTGCCATGGGCTGACACATAAAGAAATGGCAGAAGTTGAGAGAGAAAGAGAGAGAGAGAGAGAGAGAGAGAGAGAGAGAGAGAGAGAGAGAGAGAGAGAGAGAGAGAGAGAAAGAGAGAGAGAGGCATAGTCCCTTAGCCCCAAGCCTCTCAGCCTCTCAGCCTCCCACACGCCTAGTATATAAGGCCTTTGGGCCTGGTGTGCTCCTCATTATTCAGCTGCGGGTTCATTCCTTCCAACCCAGCGGAGATAGAGCGAGAGAGAGAGAGAGAGAGAGAGGCATAGTCCCTTAGCCCCAAGCCTCTCAGCCTCTCAGCCTCCCACACGCCTAGTATATAAGGCCTTTGGGCCTGGTGTGTTCCTCATTATTCAGCTGCGGGTTCATTCCTTCCAACCCAGCGGCTCGCGCCGGCCGCCTTCGGCAGCCGACGCTCGACAGCGCGGCCTTCGGCCGCGCGTGAGGGGACGGCAAGAGAAACGGACACAAGAAACGACGAGCAAAGGAATAGACGCAATGGCAAGAGCTATGTCATTATAGGCTAGCATGGCATCAACGGGGCAGTCGGAGCCCGCATCTACATGCGGTGAGCTCCAAGGGCGTGAAGAACGCCCGTCAGGGAGCGCCACAGCTCCCGGACCACAAGCGTGCTTGCGCCGATCGCCGCGGCTCCAGATCCTGCGCGCAAGTGCCGCCTCAGGCCCCGGACAGCCTAGTCAAGTTGTCCCGCAGCAGCAGCGCCACCCTCCACGGGCGCAGCCAGCACGGGCGCCAGCAGCACCGCGAGCCGGTCCGCCGCGTCCAGGCAAGAGTCCCGCTGGCAGCCACGGAAGGTCTCAGGAGGGATCACAGGGAGAGACGAGTGGGCCAGCACCTGAATCAGCAGCAGAGCGTGGAGACTGTCAGCGAGGCGGTGTAGCTGTCCGAGAGTCGCCTCGGGAACACGGGTCTGCGGAGGCTGGAGTGCCTCCGCCAGGAACTGGAGCGGCTCATCAGCATCAGCTGGGAGAGCGAACGGAGCCGCCAACGAGCCGCCACCCGCGGCCACAAACTCCACTCCCGCAACAGGCAGAACCGGCGGCAGATGGAGATGAGAGCCGGGAGCAGGCGCCGATACAGCGGGAGATGGAGCTGGCGGCGCTTGGATCTGAGGGGGAGGCGCAGCAACAGGCTGCGGGTTCGGGGGGAGCGCAGCCGGACGGGGAGCCTCGTGGGCTGGCAAAGCGCGCAGCGAACTGCTCTGGCTCTGCGCCGCCCTCTCCTCCCGAACCGCCCACGACACTTCCCGCTGAAGATCCGCCATCGTCACGGGCGAGCGATACCCCCCACCCCCGCCACGAGCGCGGGGACCCCTCCAATCCCCTTGACCCCCGGGGTGAGCAGGCCAGTGCGACTGTTGCTGGTACCGCCGTGGAGACTCACGCCGGTGACGAGACGACTTGCGGTCCTGGTGGGGAGCGGGGGAATGGGGGCGCGACGAGCGATGGTTAGGCGACGGAGGGCGTGACGGCTGGCCTGCAGGAGCCACCGCCGTCACAGCGGGGGCGTACTGACCCGCCGCCGCAGGCGCAACTGACGGAGCCGGGACGCCAGTGGTGGCGGATGCCGCCTTTGGCGGCAAAGCAAGCGCCGGAGCAGGCTCGCCGGGGGCAGAAGCGGGCAGCGCAACGGGCGCGCCAGGGACGGGAACCGGGGGATCAGCAACGGCCCCAGCAGGCGCAGGTACTGGCGGTACAACAACATCAGCCGGTGGAGCGGGACCAGCAGCCGGAGGGGAGAGAGCAGCAACAGGCTCAGACTGGACAAGAGCAGTTACGGCAACGGGAGCCTCGTGTGCGAGGGGAGGAGTCTTTTCAGAGACTGCTGACGCGGGCTTCGGAGCAGGAGGGAGAGGGGGCTTCATCGCCGTGGTCGCCCTTTCGGGTTCCGACAGGGGCTTGGCGACCACAGCCGACCAGGCGGCAGCGCGCTCTGGCGACGGCTCGTCAGCACCAGCAATCATCATCGCGAGAGCAAGGAGACCACGGGGCGAGGAGACAGACGGCTAGCGGGGCAGGCGGAGGACCGGAGAACGGGTACTAGGCAGCGGGACGTATGGCTTTAATTACGCTAGAGACAGCTAATGAGGCCGATGAAAATGCAGACCCTACATATAGTGAAGAGACTCTCCCACCTAGCGAGGATGGCGACGGGGAGGGAGAAGACCGGATGAGGGAGACATCGAGGGGAATGAGAGAGGAGTCTGTGCATCGTCATGAAGCAGATCGGGGACTGTCGGATGCCGATCGAACGGATGTAAATCCAACCGACCCATCGACCACGGGGACGAGCCGCGCGCGACAAAATCGAAGCGCGAATACACAATCAGCGGCCCGACTGACCCCACCAAACCCCCGCTGTTTTTCAGCTGACGAATTGGCGAAGCGAGTAGACTTGTTCGCTGACATCGCGAACTGGGATATTTCAGCACTAAGCGACAGTCGACAACCTACTCTGGCACGGCGTTTACCGCCCAATCTGTGCCAGCTGTTCTCGCTGGCACTATTGACACAGTTACTCCATCTGTCGCGGAACCCGGAATCCGAGGCTGGATGGCGCCTGCTGCTTTTCCTCCCGCGCCTTACACTTCGCCAAACCTCACCCCGACGCCCGAACTGGCCCCAGATCAAGGCTCGTCTCCGAGCCTTCCAGCGTGGCGAATGGGAGCAACTGTACCAAGACGCAGTCGAGGCAGTCAACACCCCTCCACCGCCCCAACACCAGCCCGACGCTGCAGGAGTCATCAGCAGAGCCGAGGGCCTGGCGAAACGCGGCAGTCTCCGACGTGCCGTGTTGGCGCTGGAGTCAACTCCAGTCTGCACACCCAGTCCAGAATTCCTGGACGAACTTCGCCAAAAGCACCCGCCAGCTGCACACGCGACGACGACCTGGCCTGACACACGTGGGTCCAAGTTGACCATCACCCCCGCTGAATTCGCTAAAACGTTGGGAAGATGCGACAACGGAGTGGGGGCCGGGCCATCTGGCACGACACTCGAGCACCTGCGCGACGCGACCGTAACCAACGCACTGGTCAGCACCCATCTGCACGCCTTAGTAAATACAATGCTGGGGGGAAATTTACCAGGTGCGGTGGCAGACCTGCTGACGGCGTCGCGACTCATCGCTCTGGCCAAACCTGGAGGAGGCGCCCGGCCAATCGCAATAGGCGAATGTCTGACTAGGCTTGCGGCCAAGGCTGCCCTTACAGACATGGGAGAATCTGCCCGCAAGTACTTTCTACCACAGCAATACGGTGTGGCGGTGTCGGGGGGAGCAGAGGCGGTCATCCACGCTGCCCGTGCATTTTTGGATGCCCGTCCTAATAGTCTGGTACTGCAAGCGGACATTTCAAACGCATTCAACAGTATTTCGCGACAAGCCATCGCCACGGCGTTACAGGACCCCTGCCTTTCGCCACTGCTGCCATTAGTCAAACTGACCTACGGTAACCCGTCGCTGCTGCACCTGGACGCTAAATTCCACAGCGAACCTTTAAAAAGCGAACGCGGGGTGCGCCAGGGCGACCCACTTGGACCACTTTTGTTCGCGGCTGGAATACATCCCACACTCCGAGAAACAGCTGAGGCCCATCCGGACGTACTCTGCCTAGCTTACGGGGATGACGTCACTTTCCTAGGGGAAACGCCTCGAACAGTAGCAGCTTTTACGTTCTTCACTGACAAACTGGCACGCCTGGGACTGAAGCACAGCCCACAGAAGTGCGTGGCCTGGAGCTCATGCACAGTTGACCAGACACAACTTCCGCCAGGAGTGCCGTATTCAACAGACGGTGTGCGACTCCTGGGCAGCTACCTGGGGCTCGACTCTGGGGTGGCGAAATTTTTATCTGGACAGCTAGAAGAGATGGCGAAGCCACTGCCCCTCCTGCAACAAGCTGACCCCCAGGTAGCCTCGCTGTTAGTTACGCACTACATCTCCAGGCGCGTGGCCTACCTCATCAGATCGACGACACTCCACCTACTCCCCCAGACAGCTGGAGCCAGTGGGGACAGGACCTGCTTGCTGCACTGCTGGTATCGTGCGATATCCGCGTTCGAACGAGCAGAGCTGAACAAGCACGTGTCTGGGCGCAGGCTTCCCTGCCACCGTCACTGGGTGGCATCGGTATCACAGACCCCTTAGTAGAAGGAGTATACGGCTTCACGGCTAGTTTTCTCCAGGCTGCGCTCCTCCTCTCCTCCCTCGAGCTAGACCCAGAAAACGCACTGACCCAGGCAAGGAACCACATGCTCTTGCCACGGGACGACACAACGCCACTGCACACATGGCTTACCGAGTGCGAAGCGGCGTTGCCAGGAGATGCGAGGGAGATTCTGGAGAAGGAGCGGCTGTCACCTTCGGACATAAGGCTCCAGCACGTGCTCGGTCTGAAGGTCCACAGCAGCAGATACGCCGTACAGGTCCAGGGCACGAGGAAAATGAAGCCGAACCCCCTCTCAGGCCATACGCAGCGGATGTTCTCGCTGACGGGATACGGAACCGGCGACTGGCTGACCGCTATCCCCATTGCCCCAAACAGACGTGTACGACCCGTGCACTTCGCCAATGCTGTGCGCTTTCGGCTTGGCCTCCCGTTTTCAACGCCAAAGAAGTGCGACTGCTCTGACCACACGGAAATCACTGAACCCCGCCTCCCCAACCACCTCCTTCGCTGCGGCACGGGAAAGCACCGCATCAACACTCACAATGAGCTGCGGGATGCTTGCATTAGCATGGCGCAGGACGCAGGGTTTATCGTGCACAGCGAGTCAGCCGCCTACTGGCCCATCGAGGAACAGACGGCCGATTTCACTATGACTGATAGGAGCAGCGGGGCGGTCTATGTGTGTGACGTCACCATCACTGACCCCATCAGCACTAGAGACCCCGAGGCACTGAAAGGGAGGGGATGGGCGGCTCGGGAGCAGGCTGACAAAAAAGTAAAGCATTACGCGAGCCGGCCAGAGACAGTTGGCTTCTTCCCTCTGGCCGTGGAAACCTATGGCTGCCCATGCGCCGAAGTACCGGCCTTCCTGAAACTATTAGCAGACACGGCGGCTCGGCGCCACTTCAACGCCGACTCCAAATCCTTTCATGCCACTAAGTTTGTGCACCAGCTCAGACAGAGATGGTCGGTGGCCCTGCAGCGAGCCCAATCTGTGGGCCTGCTACTCAAGCTGGGGGAGGCGGCGGCAGCAGAGAACCCGCCGGTAGGCGGTATTGGGCAGGAATTGAACATAGGGGACTGTTTTGCGGTGGTCGAGCCCTTCCTAGAACTCTAGAGTGGTAGGATTCGTTGCTGTTACCTTTGTTTCTATGACTTGCATGCTTGTATTCCGAGGTTATATCAATACAAGGACCATTAGAGAGAGAGAGAGAGAGAGAGAGAGAGAGAGAGAGAGAGAGAGAGAGAGAGAGAGAGAGAGAGAGCCTAGGGTTCTGGTCCTTAGCCGTTTTTAGCCTAGTTTCTTAGCCTAGTCTAGTCCTTAGCCGTTTTTAGACTAGTTCCCTAATATATAAGGCCTAGGTGACCCCTTTCCTCCTCATTATTCACTGGTAAGCTCATTCTGCTCTCCAAAAAATCGGCGGTTCACGCCGGCCGCCGAAGACGGCCGACGCTCGACAGCGCGGCCTTCGGCCGCGCGTGAGCTGTGGCAAAGACATCAAGGGGAAAGCACTATAAGGGCACGGGTTATACCATGCAGTGGTAACTGCCTAACACACCTACATGCAAGAGAGGCAGCCGCCAGATCTCGGCTGCCTCTCCCCCTGGTCTTGGCCGCCGCCGCCGCAGCCGGCAACGGAGAGGCAGCCGAGATCTGGCGGGAGCTATGGCGAGGGAGAAAGCCAGATCTGGTTTCTGGCGGGAACGACATGGGATGCCAGAGGAACAGGGTGAGGAGCCAATGAATGAAGAAGAAGGAGAGGAAGGGTCAGACTATATGGCCTCACAGGAGGCGGAATCGGAGGATGCCTAGCTGGAGGCTGAACGGGGAGTGCCCATCCCAGCCACAGATAGGGGACAGGGTTCTGGACAGGGACGGAGAGAGGGGGGTGCCAACGTGGGGGAATCCGCACCGCAGCAGCCCAACGAGGCTGCCAGCAAGGAGCGTAATCCTACCATTATCGTGCATGATGAGGCCACATGGCAGAGGGTTCATGCATGGGACTTGGGACATCTGCAATCCAGCGCGCAACCCTTCCTCGTCCGGAAACTTCCGCCGGAAATCCTAAAAATCTACAGCCACTGCCTCACGCTCCCACTCCTCCGGTTGGCAAAGTTTCTGAGCTGCCCGGCGGCGTGGCGGATCCTACAGTTCCTACCGAGGCTGACACTTAGGGCGAGCCTGGAGAAAACCCCTGGAAATAGGTGGGAGGGAGTGGAGAAGCGCCTGCAGCAATTTCGCGAGGAGGATTGGGACTCACTGTATACGCAAGCTAGCACCTTCCCGGCAAACTCCAAACCCAGCAGGCACAGCCGGACCCAGAGGGTATCTGTGCCAGGGCGGAGGGGCTGGTTCGGAAAGCAAACCTGGCGAAAGCAGTGGCAGCGTTACGAACTACACATCTGGCGGAAACTTCGCACGCGACACTGGAGTCACTTCGCTCAAAACACCCAAGGGCAGACTCGGCAATACCAGAGGGTATGGAAGGTTACACCACCTCTGCGCTCGCGATCGGGGCGGATTCTTTTCGCGAAGTCTTGGCGAAATGCCCGAATGGAATTGGGGCTGGCCCATCCGGCACGTGTTTCGAGCATCTCCGTGACACAGCTCTAACAAATGGGGAAGTCTTCACGCTGCTCCTCAAGACTGTGAACCACCTGCTTAGCAAGTACCAGAATGAGCAGCTCCAGGACCTCCTGCTCCCCGCTAGATTGATAGCACTAGAGAAACCGGACGGAGGCGTGAGGCCCATAGCCATAGGCGAGGCAATCCTACGCATTACGGCCAAGGCCGCGCTCAAGGAATTGTCCGCGGAAACCCGCGCCTATTTTCTACCCGTGCAGTTCGGCGTGGCCGTCCTGGGGGGAGCAGAATGCGTGATTCACACCAGCTGGACATAGAGAACGCGTTCAACTCGGTTGAACGCGGCTGCTTCTTTGAGTCACTTCAATGGACGAGCCTCGTCAAGCTCCTCCCCTTCGTTCGCACCCTCTACGGCAAACCGTCGAAGCTCCTCCTCGACAGTGGTTTCACAGCGACATCAATCGACAGCGCGCGCGGGGTACGACAGGGGGACCCACTTGGACCCATGCTCACGACGATTCAGCCGGCCCTGCTCACGACGGCGGTAGCAGTTCCCACCGTCACCATGATGGCGTACGCCGACGACATCACGGTCATCGGCGATCCGGCGGGGGCAACACGGGCGGTGAACATGCTACGCAACAAACTAATGAGTT